ATCCCCCACAATGCCCAGGATAACTGTAGCACTGGGCTGCACAGCCAGACTGAGGGTCTTCTGACCTTCCAGAAACCAGTCAGGGTCTCCCATTCTCTGCAAACAAACCCAGACAAATACAATACTGAAGGAAGAGAGAGGGGAATGGGCGGCCTTTGCTATGCAGAAGCCAGGTCCTGGATACCTGTTATGTTCCCAGCCATGTCCTGACACAGGAGCTTTATATTTGCTGTTACTCTTGTCCAGTTAATTTTTTTTAGATACCCTCAATAATTAAATAGTATTGAGCACCTACTATGTGCCATACAGTACAGTAAAAAGCAGAGGGGTGTAGCAGGGAACAAGGAAAACAATTCCATTCGAGAGGCTCATTCACAACACTGCTTACTCGGAGAGGCACTCTTCAATCATTCGCCAAGACAACCTCCTCCTCAACCATTCACTGTCCTCCTTCCCTGTATAAATTTTCCCCACGAACCCTGACCACCAAAACCCCCCAACCAGAATGTAACACCCATGATGGGGGGATGTGTCTCTTCCGACTGTAGCCAGGCTTTCAACCATGCTCAGCAGGGAAGATGCTCCAGGCAGGGTGGAACAGTGCTTCCTTGGGAGTGCTGCCACACTGCTGCTGCAGCCGGCAGTGCCAGCCAAGACAGTTGAGAAAGCTAGGCAGGGTCAGATAGGGGCTTTTTTTGAGACAGGGTCTCACTGTGTAGTCCAAGCTGGCCTCAAACTCACAGCGATCCTCCTGCCTCAGCCTCCAGAGTGCTGGGATTAGAGGTACGTGCCACCACACCCAGTTATTCCCTCTTTTTATTTAATCTATGAAAATACATTATTCAATATGAGCAAGAATACTAGGTTTCTGAAAACTAATCAAAAAAGGAAAAACCTTTGAAAGAGTAGCAGTCAAACAGTTTTCCAAATACTGTTCAGTTGTATTCTCAGCTTCAGTTTTGCCTTGGCTAATGAAGATCAGGTTAATAAACAAGAGCAACAGTGAAAACAACAGAGTGAGAGAGAAATCCTAATCTGTCCCTGTTGGGCCCAACCACAGGCTGAATTCAGACACACCAAGGACATCCACAGAGCTCCGTTCCCAGTGTCTACTTAGTGAGCCGACACTCAAAGTGTGCTTATTGCTAATCAGGTATCTTCATGCACTATTTTATATTCTTCCTATGGTGACAGATACCACTGAAGGGAATGTAGTTCCAATTTCCCTTCAGACTTCTGCAAGCCAGCAATGAAAATATGTTAACTTAAAATTAGCAAAAGGCCACATAAAGTAACTTCCTCAGTGCAGATCACACTATGTTACTACACCGTGTTAACCTCCGGGATTAGAATGGAAGCCGATCTAAAGGGCTTCTAATGATACAGATCCCAACAAGACTTAAGGCCATCAGACCACCTCACACTTGCATTAGCAACTGTCCTTGTGGCCACTGCCCAATGGGACACTGTTCTAATACATACGGTTTTGAGGGTTTCAGCTGCTCTTCTACACTTCCAGATTTGTAATCAATTACATCATCCGCCCCAAGCTTCCTTACAAGCTCATTGGCATCTTTAGAGCAAACTGCTGTCACATGAGCATCCCACGCTTTCATTATCTGCCAGAAAAAAAAGAGGAGGGTGGAAAATAGAAAAACTGCATTAAAAATAAAATTGGCACCGCATGTACATCTATCTGACTAATCTGTAGAGAACTTTACCTCATCTTAACAAGAAGTATAGGAAGCCATCTGTCAGACTAGTAAAAATGATAAAACTTTTTCATTCTGAAGAAAATCTCGAGAAATAGACTCAGTTTCTATAGGGAAGCCAGCCAGTACCTCTAGGAATGAAGCTTTAATCAATCCACTCAGAAGAGCTCAGTGTCTCAGAGCCCAGAAAACACTGGGTTAATAGCCTCAAATTTAGTGCTTGTAGTGATGACAAAGGTAAGTGGGAAAATAAGACATAATCACACACGCTCAAAAAATGACTATCTCAACTGTGTTCAGAACATTAAAATGCAACACTCCTTCATTTGTGTCTCCAAAAATTGTTAATGCAGTATTGAGTCGGGCAGTGTAGTAAAGCAATCAGCTATTCAGTGCTGGGTAACATAAAAAAGGCACTCTTTAAGAGGGGCAAGAAAAAAATGGCCATTTTATTTTTAAAACATGGACCATGTCCTCTCCTTTGAAGTAGGAAGACATAAATAAACAATTACCAGATTTTAAAAATGCAGATGAATTAATCTTAAAATAAGAAAAACTAAATTTAAATTAAAAGGAAAGGTAAATTCTAATATGATTCTGGATTAAGAATGCAGAAAGCATCCTGCTCCAAAAGTGCTATAATTCTTTTCTATAATATCCATTTAATAGGGTTTCTAATGAGATGTTTTTTTTTAAATGAAAATTACAAAGCACTAATTACTGGAGAAGGCCCAGGTTAAGGACTAAGGTTCTCTAAACTCCTGAACACATAAGCTGTTACTTTATTAATTTATTTAGGTGGTGCTGTGGACCGAGCCCAGTTTCACACATGGGAAGCAAGCGCTCTCCCACTAAGCCACACCTTCAGGCACCAATTTCAAGAATTAAAGGGGACCATTTTCAGCTTAATTTTGAAAATAGCAAATTAAGTTCACCAAGAAATTTTATACTGAGAGTTATAGGTCATAACACATCAGCTGTTTTCTCAATCCTGCATTTCAATTTCTTGAACTCCCTGTGGGTAAACTGCAAAGGTTCACTAGATTACAAGGAGTCTGTGCTTCACGCACTGTGACCCCCACTCCAGGGCACACAGAGTTGCTAAATAAACATCTGGTAAGCACAAAAACATGGGGTTTAAAACCCATTCATAATCTTCCCTAATTTCTCACTTTTTATTCTAAAAAGCAATATTGGCCAAGGGTTTGTATATCCTGCAAATCCAAGGAGAATTAAAACATCTATGAGACATCATGTAGGATTTATTTTGCTTATAGGCTGCAAACAGATACTTGAGGAAAATATCATGCTGCACAATTCCCAAATCAAATTCAAACATAATCCAAGACAAACAGCTCATTGTGACCATTCTTTTTCTACTATCAATATAAAAAATGGTTGAGTAAAAAGAAAATTATATGCTAAGTACCTACATGTAATGTGTTTTTCTTTAAAGGCTCAGGAAGAATGTCACAAATTTAAACAGTTCAATTAGTTTTTTTCCAAATTCTAATTTTTCCTTCCTTACTTGGAACTACAGTATCCAGTACCTTTGAGCATTACTAAAGGGTTTAGTTTGGTTTTCTGTAAAATAAAACACACACATAGAAAAACCTATAAGGCAAACACCACTGAGATAAACAAAATGCCAGCAGCTATTCCAAAGATCTTGTGCCTTATTCAACACAAGTTCCTCCCTCACAAGGCATTATCATCTTTACTTTTACAGTAATCACCTCCTTGCATTTAAAAAAGGTTTTCCACTCTAATGTGCATTCCCTAGGCACTATAGTCAATCTTGCATATTTTTAAAATGTGATCTCTTTTAAATGAAATTATAGGCTCCTCTTCTAGCCCTTTGCTTTATTATAATTTATCTGTGGAAAATTTTAAGTCATTTGACCTACAGAGTTCCCAACCAGGATGGCAAACCTTTTAGAGCTTTCAACGATAACAAACAGCTGGCTGCAGCACATATGCCACAGGTTCGCCACCCCAGTCTAGAATTTGATTACACACTCAGGATAGTTTTGCATGTTTCTCTGTCTTCTGTATTTTCTGCAACTTGCCAGATCTGGAGACGGGATCAAACTGTGTTTCAATTCCTATAGGAAAGCCAGGAAGGTGGTCAGGTGAAACTAGAGAAGGTACATGTCATATCTGGTTGTTACGCATTTTATAATCTTGGCAGTTATCAATGCTCAATATCTGTACCCGTTTATTGGTGGTTGCACAACAGTGATGTTCTAATTCTCTTTCATTTAGTAACTGGAGTACTTTCAGTATCTGTTCTATTCCCTTGCTTTGGTTTTCCATTCACCAATCTTTGCCTGTTTTCAATACTTAACACTATCACCTGAATATGCTTATACCTTACTCTGGAATTTAAAATTTCCCTATTCTATTTCTCCTAAGGTAGCATTACATGTTGTGTTTATTTGCCACTGAATTCTTTCTAGAATAATCTTTATTACCAAATGATTTTTTTCATTTATTTTTACCTTTTTTCCTGTTATTCCAATCCTGATTTATTTTATACTTTTATATTTTGCATTTTTAATATTTTTTAGTTTTGAAGTGGATTACATTTCCATTTCAAGGTCATGTTTTCTGATTGCTTTCACCATCTACAGATACGTTATTCTACTCTTTATCCTTATTTTCCCTATAATAGCTTTCTATGGGATTTAACCTTGACACTTTTCAATTACTCACTTTTCATTTTATTAAAATATTTGTGTTGTGAAATAGACATAAAACTCCACAGAGTATAAGTGTATGACTTAACAAATTACTACAATGCAAATCTCTCTCTAAATATCACTCAAGATTAAGAACTAGAATACCACTCATGCTCCTGGGCCTCCCAATAAAAAACCCCTCATTCTTGGCATACTAACGATCATGATTTTTATTATAGTTTTGCCTTTTTAAAAAGTTTTACTTGGTAGGCATTCTTAAATACTATTAGTTTCCCTGTTCTTGAATGTAACTGAATGTAATCGTATGAGAGTCCTCTTTTGTATCTGAATTCACTCAACATTCTGACTGTGAAATTCAACAACTCCACTGTTTATAATTATGGTTTGTTTTCATGACTGTATAATATCCCAAGGTAGGAATCTATCACCGTTTATTTATTCATTTTACTGTTGATAGTTGTTGTTTCCAGTGGGGGATATTACCAGAATAGTCTAGTTTTGAAATTCTGATACATATCTTTTTTTTTTTGGTACCAGGGATTGAACACGGGGCCTTGCACTTGAGAGGCAGGCGGCAGAACCACTGATATGTACCTAGCCCTTGGTACATATCTTTTGGTAAACATGCTGCATATATCTATAGGGTATATGCCTAAGAGTGGAATTATGGGGTTGTCACAGGGCAATGTATATTCAAATTTAGTATGTGGAGTACCGCCCCACTGATCATGCCCCAAGCAGGCTTTAAGCAGTGCAGGCTGTAAAGAGTTAACCCTGCAATTGGCTTATTTTAAGTGAGTCTGACCAAATCATATAAGATAACACATAGCTGAAGTCAGAGTGACTCTTAATCAAATTCTGTTCCTAGCCTAACACAAGAATGCTTTGTCACTTCTTTTGTAAGTCTTGTTTGCATCAGCAATGTATCCCTAGCAACCACGTGTAACCCTTCGTGCAGCCCCTTTACCCTAACCTAACAATAATGGTGTCATCAATAAACATCGATGGTTCTGGCTGTTCAGGCTCTTTGCTTACTCAAGCACTGGTCATTCCAGTTCCTCATCTCTGGCTCTTTAATTCTATCTCCAAGTCTTTCTTCTCACCACGCATCATAGCACTGAGCAGACAGAATTGGTTATCTTAACAGTATTTTGGCTACTGCATTTCTATGTATACTTTAGAATAACCTTATCAATGTCTACAAAAAGACCTGCAGAAATTCTGACTGGCACTGATTGTTTCCTATTATACTGCAAACTTCCAACTACTTGTACTGCCCATGGTCTTCCTTCCTAAAAGCTCCCTGACATTTACTACACAAAACACTCACATGTTAAACCACTGGAAAGGTGAACACTTCCTTCTACATTAGAACATGTTCCTCTTGCAAAAGAAATTTGAAATTACAATGGATTTATGAGAACTATCTTTCTCTTGGCTTTTAAGGAAAAGTAATTTATAAATGTGAATTTAACAATGTAAACAAAATCTTCCTATTTACAAGGTTAAAATTTGTTTTTACCTGTATTGCAAAAGTACCAACCCCGCCAGAAGCGCCCAAGATTAAAACTCTGCAATGCAAAAGAAATGAGAATAATGAGAATCTGAAGTAGATATAAATAGATAAATAAATGTTTTCAACATGTAACTGACTCAGTGACAATCCCTAAAGCAGTCATTTGGCTTCCCAAGATCAACCTATACAGGATTTTAAGTTCATTAAGAAGCTGTAAGTACTTAAAATTAGACATTCAATGAACTCTTTAACTCTTAACTCTTTACCAAGAATATATAATCAATAATAATTTCTCCTTTTTTAAGTAGCTCAGGACACTTTGTAACATGTCTTACAATTTCTCCAGACTAAAATTACCACAGCTTCTTTGTGAGAGATTTAGGGCCCTTTTAGTGTATTAGTTATCCTCTACAAAAATCACATTCCTGACCACATTCCTGCCATGCTCATCAACCATCACAGAGATTATCTCATCCTCGAGATGACTTCCTGTTAAGACAGATGAATGCATTCTATCAACATAATCCTCCTGTGCTGCAGGCGCTATCTACTCACTAGAGCCTCCTGCCACTCAAGATGACGGTGCTTAGCTTACAGGTGAGTTGGGGGCAGGGGCAAAGAAATCGTGACTCCTCTAAAATTCCGAATTTCCTAAAATAACATGTAAAATGTGGTATAGGTATGAGTATGCATGTGTGCACTGGAAAGTAGGGGGATCTAGACCCAATATCCTTTTCTCAGAGAAGTTTGTGATCCAAAAGAAAATGGTCAAGAATTACTGCTTTATGCCTTTTTTTTTTTTTTTTGAGCTAGGGTCTTGCTATATATTCTATGTATTCCAGGCTGGCTGAACTCACTATGTACCCCAGGCTGGGATTTCAGTAGCCCACCACCACACCTGGCTCATTTTACATATTATTACACTTTACTCTTGAATTAAGCTAGAACTTCAGAGAATTGCCTACCGGGACTGCACGATTTCAGAAAGTTGTTTGTACTGAATTGCACTTTAGTAATTATGCTACCAATTGAGGTTGAGGGTCATTACAAAAAAGTAATTGTTTGGTATTTGAGACTCCATTAGCTAAGGGGATACTGTGGAGAGAATTCCGAGCAGTACCCACAGAAGAACATTTTTCTGAAGACTAAGTGGTGGGAGTAGCTGTTGTTATTTATTGGTCAATATAAACTACATAAATGCTAGCTGTGGGTCCCTTTCGTCTTGGCTGCTACAAAATGTAGAGCATTTTGCTACCTAGCTCTGGCAGGTACTCTGGATCTCAGAACATGTTTAAGGACTACCAACTTAACCCTACTTTCATTTTTTTTCTTTCTTACCTGTATCATAGAAGGCTGGTTGTTACCCTTTATTTTATCTTAAAAGTTACTACTGGGCCGGGGATATAGCTCAGTGGTTCTGCCGCCTGCCTCAAAAGCGCAAGGGCCGGAGTTCAATCCCCAGTACCAAAAAAAAAAAAAAAAAGTTACTACTAAAATTTCTAAGCTAGCTGTTTCCTTTCAAATTAATACCATCAAATGTAATTAAAAGTCTCCTTGTAAATTATGTTCCTTCTAGAATAGTTTTAATATTACAGAGTTATCAATTGTGAAGAGCAGAAGAAACTTTGAAGACCCACTCTTCCAAAACTCTTCACTTCATAGACTTTATAGTTGTGATACTAAGTGGGGAAGAAAGCACTAAAAGTGCCTCAGTGACCCAGCTAAAATTTAATTCACCAGTGAACTATTTTACTCTCCTACTTTATTGAAATGTAGCTAAACTCTCCTTCAAGGTCTTCATAATCTGATGATCTCAACTCTCTCCTTTTCCTCTATTTCCTAAGCAGAACTGTCCTGCTCTGAGACCCCAGGCTCCTTATTCTTCCTAAGCTCCACGCACCTTGGCTCATTCTCCAGGAAAATATCTTCCCAACCTGCTAAGCTCTCCCTTCCCTTGAAAGCCCAAGTCCCAGGTTTCCTCCACAATACCCTAGACATAATCCAGAGCCACACATTTGGCCTCTGTCACACTGTTAACTCATGCATACATCCTGCTTCCCAAAGTATTCTGCCAACTCTCAGAGACAGAGATCCCCCATTATGCCCTGCTCTGGCCATACTACCCTAGATGTAGCAGACGCATGATCAATGTTCCTTGACTTTAAAGATTATTCAATTAGCATTAGATCCCACACTCAGGACAATTGCTCCCACCTGGGAGCTTGAAAGACTGCACTAAAGCTTCTTCCAGTAAAGAAAATCTTAAGTTAATTTCTAGTTCTCTCCCTACAAAGGATGGATTAAAAAGATACTAAATACAATGGCTGTTTAAGGACTCAACTGCCAGACACACCTCCTACCTCATTATTGTCAGTTCATCTCTTCATAATTCTTAACCAAACCAGCCTCATTTTCTCAAATAAAAAAGCACAATTACGTTTCACACCAGGGGTTGGCAAAAAAAGGAAGTGGTACTGAAATAGCAGCTTCAGTTCTGGATACTGCCACCTGCTGGCACCCACAAAGTGCAAAACATGATTTGTTACTGTGAAGAAAGGTATGCCATGTTGTTTGCTGGTTGGTTTATATACAAAAGGTGTCAAGAAAACACTTTACTTGCAAAAAGCACTATAATTGGACCGGGGATTTAGCTTAGTGGTTTTGCTGCCTGCTTTGCAAGTGCAAGGACCCGAGATCGATCCCCAGTACCAAAAAAAAAAAAAAAAGCACTATAATTCAAAATTGTCAAGATTTTTAATCATATGCCTTCTCTTGCTTCCTACTCCATAAAGAGAGCTCCTCTGAAGTTAGTAAGGATTGCTCTAGTGGCAAAAGTAAAAAATTCCAGGGAAACATGAATAATTATTATACTGCTATGCATTCTTAAGCCAAATTCCAAGTTGCTCTTCATTTCTGTCTAATCTCTGAAGTCTCCCTAAACAAAAATTAAAGTACTAAAGCAAAGTTGGCTTTTTTTTCTTCTGTGACTGAGACACTTTTTATTTAGCATTTGGGTACTTAAGTCCTCTACAATCACAGTTTTCAGTATTATAATCTTATGAGGTAGGTTATAAACTGCCTTACAAATTAAAAAAAAAAAATTAACTGCAAAACAACCAGAGAACCAGAAGGAAGAAATCATCCTTCAAGTTTCTGTATTACTGCTTGGTCTCAGAAATCCTTGAATGTCAAGGCTGAGTATCCAGAGACTTTGGCGCTATTCTCAGCTCTCTCACCACTGGAATCCCTAATCTTCAGATGCCTCATCTATGAAACAATAATCAGAGAGGTGCATTCTGGGAGCCAATGAAAAGAAACTGCTAATTTAATCTAAGCTTATATTTCATTTCTCCACCTTTCTAACATGCAAGTACATGGCCTCCATGATCCCCACCACCACCACCACACACAGAGGGGAAAAAAGACGCAAGCACCATCTACTAACTCCTGATGGCCTAGAAAAATAACAAACACAGCTAAATCTTCCATAGCAGAAACAAATGGTCTTTAAGAAATAAGGATGATGCTGAAAATGTATCTTTCTTCACGTACAGTGGACCCTTGAGTTATGACCAGCCTGACATATGAACAACTTGGGTTATAACCAGAATTTTAGTTTTAACTTACAAAGTCTTGTATTATAACCTGAATGCTGGCCTCTTGTGCTTCCAGATGATCTGAGATACAGTTTTATCCTTTAAAGGGTTCTGGAAGGAACATTATAACATCCTTTCCTGTGTGGGGTTGATTGAGAAATCCTGGACCAATGCCTCTCTAAGGACACTGAGATCAGCCTGTATACAGGAGAGAGACTTTGAAGGCTGTGTAGAGGAGCTTGAGCCTTCATTGACCAACCTGAGTTACAATCAGCCCTCAACAAATTGAGTTTTTAAGTCAAGGGTCCACTGTACTGTTTTGTTTTGGGGTTTTTTTGGTACCAGGGATCAAACTCGGAACCTTGCGCTTGCGAGGCAGGTGCCGGAACCACTGAGCTAAATCCCTGGCCCTGACTGTACTAGTTTTAAATCGGAGGAAAAGGTGAGTAAAAGATAGCAAAGTATCTTAGCAAAATATGCTAAGTTTATTCCCTAAAGTGAGTGAGAAACTTAACTGGACTAAGTAGTATAGAGCTATAAAGCAAATCAACCAAATAAGACCATGATAGGCTGGATTTGAGTGTCCTCCTCTTCTATGCCTCTGTAATTCATGCTGACATTCCCCATTTGTAGGAGAGTTCATGTATAAAGTAGATGTTTGGAAATTTACATACACGTTCCCATGAAAACAAAACTACTATTTGTAAGTTTTGGCAAGGTGCCCAGGGTAACTATTTATAAAACTTTAGCTAACCCATAATGGAGTAAGAACTTCACACATAGGATAAGAATGCTTCTCTTATCTGAGATGTATTCACAGTTTCAACCAAAGGTACTGGAATGCCTCTTCCCAAATGGATAGGCAGTAGGAACCATCTCAAATCACTATTTCCTTCAATCTTGCACAGAAGCAGAGGGAAGGAATGCTTATGACAGGTGACAATAAAATGACCAGGAAGGATTTACCACGCAGCCAATGAAGTTGAAGCTTTGGACCCCTCACTTATACACAGCTCCAGCAATGTATTTGCATGAACGCATTTTTATAAAATTTACAAAAGTAAGATATGTCTGTCTGGTGTGGTAGGAGACAACTGTAATCCCAGCACTCGGGAAGCTGAGGCAGGAGGATTGCTGAGAGCTTGAGACCAGCTTGGATTATATAGAAAGTTCAAGACCGGTCTGAACTACATAGTGAGACCCCATCTCAAAAACAAAACAAAACAATAACAACAAAAGAAAGATATGCCCATCACAATCAGGTAAGATTGCTTTTTCCATTCCTATACTTGCTCCCAACACACTTCTTTGTAATAGCTTTCTGTTGTTGTGACAAAATATTTGAGAAAATCAGTTTAAAAGACAAAAGATTTCTTTTGGCTCACAGTTTGAGAGGTTTCAGTCCATGATCACTTGGCTCTGTTGTTTCTAGGCCTTTGATGAGACAGACCGTCATAGT